GGTATGGGCCGCCGTGCCAACCGTACGGGCAGCGGCAGCGTTTCCCCTGACAGTGAAAACTTTGTGTCGTCGGACAATGACTCGGATAGTGTTCGCAGTGGAGGGAGCAGCTTGTCTGGCAAGCGCAGTGTGGGAAGCCTCCGCGCTGCAGCCAACGGTGCTATCGGTTCGGAGCGCAAGGCTTCCAAGGAGCGCTCGTGTGATCGCGTTTCCATCAACCGATCTTACACGGCCAACAGCATGAGCAGCGACGATGGCGGATCTGTCGGAGGTGGCTTGGTGGACATTCGCCCAGAGGAGACTTGGGGCGAGCGACGCACCATGCCCAAGCTCGTTCTCACCAACGTGGAGAAGCGTAAGAGCACCATGTTTTAGGGGCTACGATGAGAGTGGCAAAGAAGAAAATATTCAAGGGACGCTTGGTTCCCTTTGTGCATATTACCGCGGCGTTGTTTTTCGAACGCCTTCATCTTACGGCCCATTACGACCATCTCCTTATCGTTTAGTGAATTGTTGATGCATTTTGGTCATAGGGTTGTTTCGACCGTTTTATTTCTCGGATGTTATGAGATTACCCTTCTTATCTTCCTTGGAAGATCCTCTTCTGACTTTGACCTGTGTTTCTTTTTTGCGATTTGCAGTGAGAGTCTGTATTTGATGGCTCTTTTTCTTTTCTTTGGGCTTTCTTCTGTTGTGCAGAATCGTGGTCTTACAGTCCGAGCTTTCCTAGCCTGTGGCTGGAGCTCATTGCACTCTTTGGGAAATCATTGGTCACTGAAGTGTGCGCATGTTTGTTAAGTTGAGAGTTTTTTTCGGTTTGAGATCATTCATTCATTTTCTTTTGCAATGGTGGATGCCCTGGGGCAGGGGATGATGGGCGAAAGGGCCACAGTACCCAGAGCACGGCGATTGAGACGAGAGTGGCCTTAGGCTGGGGTCATGTAGGATGAGTGAAGATAAATGCTAAAGTACGTTCGCTTGTGGCAATTTTTGTGCAGTGTCTTGTTTGAGTGATGGTGTGATGTGAGGTTGATTGAGATGGTAGTGTGCTTTGCAGTCGTAGATTGAACATGAAGCGTTAGACAGGAGAAGCTGGCATGTGTGTTCAATGTTCTATATAGCCCTACGGGAAATTGACATGGATCATGATAATGCCCAGCTATGTTCCACATTGACAGGAATCGTCAAGTGTAAAGGTGTTGAACGATTCGGTAGCAGAGAGACAATTGGATGGGATTGCGTGGCGCAGCGTGGGATCGTTAGTGGTGTTGAGGCTCAAGGCTGGCTAGAAATCGATAAGCAGCCCTGGTCACATCGCGGGCGCCGCGGGGTAACAACTACACACCGTACCTACCTGGCTCTTTTCTCCAACCCGAACATCTCGACGCGTCGCGCGCAAATACGGTGACGCTTTGTGAAGTACTGGTTGCTGGGACGGTCTTTATTTTTGTTGAAGTTGTGGGGTTGAAGTACGGCACTCTAAGATACGGGGGGGACGGAGATCTCTATCCAAGCAACGAAGCCCTCCACCAAAGCCACCTAGGCAAACCAAACGGCCTCTGGCATCGCCCATCGACACGACCTTCTCACCTCTCAAAACCCACGACACAAACCGCCATACAAACACACGAGCGCAACCCCATCATGCCCGAACCCCACCCCGCCCCTCCCCAATCCGT